TCCCAAGTCTTTTAAAACAGAGCAGTCAGAGCTCTCTGTTCAAAGTGTCAGCTCTTTCAGGCCCAAATCCCCCAAAGGCTTTCCTCTCACTCAGGAGAAAAGCCGGTCTTTGCAGTGGGTGACAAGGCCCAGCGTGTCCTGTCCCCTTAGCTCCTTCCCTGCCACTCTCCACTGTCTCCCCTCCGAGGGCCCCAGGCAGGCCCCCCCCTGAGGGTGTCTGCACCTGACACGCTTCCCCACGTCTCTCAGGTGTGTGCTTGGGCATCCCTATCGCTAGGGAGCATCAGAGAAGTCCGGCCTGAACACCCCAAGTCAGCATTCTGCTTGCCTGCACACGCTCAGCACAAGCCTTTTCATTATGTTTTGGCTTCACTTTGAATGGCTCCCTGTTGTCTGTAGAATGAAATCCAAATTGCTTAGCATATCTAGGCATCCCAGTATTGTTTAGCCACTTTCTAGTTCTCTGGCACATTTCTCACCGTTCCTCTTTGCAGCCCACATACCAGGCATTCTGAATCACTTGCAAGAAACCCAAAATAAGGAAAAAGTGGCACAGAATATAATAGAGATTTAAGGGATTATTAAACATAGACATTATTCTTGTACAGAATTAACACTTGCCAAACTTCAAACACTGTTGGATGGTGTGTGAGTAGCAAAAACATTGTGACCCTTTGAAGCCCACTGACATCCACCCCATTTAAAAGTGTGTCAATAGCAAAGGCCAACAATACACTCAACGACAGAGTCTCAGTCTTTGTACAAAGATCTCTATATGGGTAAGTTTCCCTTTACTAATGTTTACTTTCCTCTATAACAATTAGTATAATCAGAGTTTTTCTCCTAATTAAACAGGAAACATAATTTTCCAATAGCTTAGTTAGATACTTCATTATAAGAGTATTAAGGGAGTTTTTAAAATGAATATTTCTACTGTGGATAATCAGAAAAACAAGAATTTATAACTTGGTAATAAATAAATAAACCTTTTAGAAATGTTTATTGTTCCAGCTCATTAAAATGTTATGTGTTTTGGACAGTATTTCTTAAAGGCCATAAAATTAATAATGTATTTTAAAAGTTTGATTGGCACATTTTCCTAAGCCCAATGTAGCCCTAGTTTTCATTGGGCGTCTCATACAAGCTGGAAATCTGGCACTTAATACTATATTTCAGTTTTAAAAGGAAAACATTTTCCTCCAGGGCTAACTCCTGTATTTTTGAATGTCTTTATTTCTCACTGCCTCGCATTTCCATACGAAGAAATCCTGAGCCTATTACAGCTAATCCGGGTCTGCTATTTCTTTGTGTCTTGAAATTATGCTGAAATTTCAATTAATAACTAATCATGCCAATGGCCTGGCAGAATATTTGAAACTAAAACCCTGCATATCATCTACTGGAGTTAAACTTAAAATCTTTCACCACACACAGCAAGAAGGGTACAGTAAACATTTACTGAGAACCTGTGATATATGGGGCATCACATGGACCACGGCGGATTAGAAGGAGCTGCGCGTGTCCACAAACTGGGAAGAACCCCAGCCTTCCCGCCGTGCCTCTCGTAAGGGCCCCTCATGGCCAACAAACTCCTCCAACCCTTCGGGGAACTTGCCTTCCACCTACTGGTCCTAGTTAAAGTCTGTGCAATGAGAATCCCTCTTCCGTTCAGTCTCCCTAAGTGGAGTTGCTTTTTCCCAAGGCTCCCAAGCCACAAGGACAGATATTCAGTCAATAGTCACAGAAAATTTCTGGGTTTTAGGGACATTGAGATGGACTGTGTCCTCTTCCTCTCAGCCTTGGCAGGCCCCCTTGAAGGCAGCACTTGGAGACGTCCTCAGGCTCAGCGACCCCCCAACTAGAGCCCCCAGAACATGGTCGGCACCTCCTGAAACCCCCTTCCAACCCCTTTGTGCCTGGTCCCACAGCCCTCCCCCTGCCCTGAGTGCCTCTATTTCTCTTTCTTTCATTGTGCATGCAAGTGTTCCACTCCCTTCTCACGAGGTCTTTGCGTCTGCCCTTCCCCCTCCATCCACCCTTCTCACAGCTAATGAAGGTGTCCTTTTGAACAAGTATCTTTTCAGGCATTCCCCCAGCTCACACCTTTTAGTATTTTCCTGTTACTTAGTGAGTGGCTCTCACCTTTCTCCCTTCTGGGCACAACTGACAAGGCAGTAAATGTGCAGGAGGAAATTCAGACCCAGAGGCTGCTGACCCAGGGCCTCATGATTCCAGCCCTGCCTCGGGCCCTGGTGCACCTCCATGTGGAGGATGAGCCCGGCTCCGGGGCTCGGTGTCCAAGGATGTCCCCCTGCCTCCTCCCTCCCAGAGGAGAGTTTGGAACAAGAACTCAGGCCCAGGCAGTTTGAGAGCAGAAGCTGGAGGGTAGATGGTGCGAGACAAGGAGAGAGGAGACTGAATGGCTGGGCTCCGTTCTGCCAGTGACCCACTGAGCGAATGTGCAGAGCGAGACACATAGCTGTCCCACAGGACAATGACGAAGCAGGACCTTCTATTGCAGACCTCATCTCCATTGACTGGCACTGCCCTCAGGGCCAGACTGTGTTTCTAAGCTATGTCTGCATCCACCTCAAGGGCCCCAGGCCTCAGAGTGAGTCCTGGAGTAGACGGGTCTGCGGGAAGGCCCTGAGGTGGGCTGTGCGTCACGGCTGAACTCAGGCAGTGGAAGAGGCCAGATGTATGAGAACCAGAAGCATCTGCTGAATGCCGGGGTGGAAAGTAAGGGCAGGGTCCCTCCACAAGCGCCCACGTGGCTATCGGGGACACTGGTCCATGCAAGTGGCACAGCAGGTGCCTATGAAATAAAGATGAGAGTAAGTAGACAGTGGGGTCGGTGAGTGATGAAGCCTTGCCTGAAAATCTCCAGGCATACTAAATAGCTATCAGTGTCTTCCTAGACGAGGAAACAGGGTCTCAGGTCTGCGGCTTCCCAGCAGATGCCGTGGTGGCAACATTGAGCATGCCTCACATCTGTCCAGTGCCCCACCTCACATCTGTCCAGTGCCCCATCTTCTGTATTTGATCTACCATTGTTTAGAGTAGTTAAATATTAGAGTTAGATTCTCCTTTGCTCCCAAATGATGGTTTAACTGACACATTCCTGAAGGCATCATTTGAGTTAAATTTCTACAAGGGGGAGAAGAATGGAGTGTAGAGAAGACCCCAGCAAACAAAGCCACAGGGGTAAGATGACTCTGAGTGTGATTTCAGGTGACAGTGGTGAATCAGAGTCTAAGTTATGTGAAGTGTGTGTAGGAGAATAACAGGAAATCTTTAAAAAATAAAATTGGAGCTAGTTTGCCAGGCCTTGTGAGCCACATCCTCACCCCTTTGTAAACGAATGGCCGCGATGGCCTGTGACATTCTGCCTGTCATAGAGCTCATGCTCCAACAGTCCACTCTGGGCTGCACCTCTTGAACCACATGTCCAGTCCTGTCTGTCATCCAGACCCTGCACCAGCCTCAACCCAGCCGAGTTCTTCCTCACCACTCAGGTGCCCCGGGCGTCTTCACCGAGCATTTTTTTTTTTGCACTTCCTAATTCTCACTCACCTCATGCTTGGCCTTCTTAGACCTTCATGTGCCCATCTTCCACCCTTAAGCACAGAGGACGCCAGTTAAGGGCACACAGATTCTGTGCACCCTGTGTCAGCAGGCGGAATACGTGCACTGTTGGCTCGTTAAATGGGTCAAGTTTGATGATGTTTATCTGAGTCTCTTCCATTCATGAAATTTAAAAGTTAGTATGTTTGAGGGAATAGGTCAGGAGCACACAGCTGTGCATGGTTGGAACCTGCTGCACACCTGCTTTTGTGTGCATCCACAAGGTTAGAGCAGGAGAAGGGTGAGTGACGGGAGGAGGGAGGTGCTGGCTTCCTGTGTGCCAGCGCTCTCTGCCTAAACCTCAGGTGCAGGAGAATCCCAGTGAGCAGACTGGATTTCTTGAGCCTTCACAAATTTTAGAAAGTTTGGTAAAAATAATTAAAGATATAAAGTGTGGGTTTGTAATTTGTGCCATTTAAGGCATATGGGAATAATAACGATATGAACATTTTTTTTTATTAAACTGCACACTTTTGTTAGACCCAGTCCCAGCAGAGAAGATGCTAAGGAAGGTCTCCCCCCCAGCAGAGGAGATGCCAAGGAAGGTCTCCCCCCCAACAGAAGAGATGCTACGGAAGGTCTCCCCCCAGCAGAGGAGATGCTAAGGAAGGTCTGCCCCCAGCAGAGGAGATGCTAAGGAAGCTCTCCTCCCCCACCCCCAGCAGAGGAGATGCTAAGGAAGGTCTCCCCCCCAGCAGAGGACATGCTGAGGAAGGTCTCCCCCCAGCAGAGGAGATGCTAAGGAAGGTCTCCCCCCCAGCAGAGGAGATGCTAAGGAAGGTCTCCTCCCCTACCCCCAGCAGAGGAGATGCTAAGGAAGGTGTCCTCCCCCACCCTCAGCAGAGAAGATGCTAAGGAATGTCTCCCACCTAGCAGAGGGGATGCTAACGAAGGTCTCCCCCTCCCCCCAGCAGAAGAGATGCTAAGGAAGGTCTCCCACCCAGCAGAGGGGATGCTAACGAAGGTCTCCCCCTCACCCCAGCAGAGGAGATGCTAAGGAAGGTCTCCTTGCCCACCCCCAGCAGAGGGGATGCTAACGAAGGTCTCCCCCTCACCCCAGCAGAGGAGATGCTAAGGAAGGTCTCCTTGCCCACCCCCAGCAGAGGAGATGCTGAGGAAGGTCTCACCCCCAGCAGAGGGGATGCTAAGGAAGGTCTCCCCCCCAGCAGAGGAAATGCTAAGGAAGGTCTCCTAGATCACATGCGCTGTCCTAACAGCCGTGTAGGTTTCCCACGTGGAAGCTTCTCTTAGGTGCCATTGTTCCGTTCCCCCCACACCCAGCTCTCCTCACAGCTGCCCCACCCTCAGTTTCCCTCTTCCCTGCATACTTTGAGTTGTTCTTGACGGAATCTTGTTTCTGTCGGCTTATTTCCTAGATGGGCAGTGATGGAATTTTACGCCTCAATACGTCAGCTCTAAATAATGAATTCTTTGCATATGCAGCACAAGGGTGGAAACAGCGGCTGGCAGAAGGTAAAGCCTATTTTCCGTTCTTATGTGACATGTCTGAGCGCGTATTCTGTGCCAAGCTTTGCGCCTTTCTCCCATTTCCAAGTCCCCCCCCCCCCAGTGACGTGCAGTTCAGTGAGCGCTCGCATCCTGTTCCAGATTACGTCACTGAGTCTTCTGTTCCACTCGGCGTTTTGGATGTCTGTTATTTCTGAAGAAATCATGATGTCATCTGGAACATAAAATTTTCTGGTAGAGCAAGATTTTCTTTGGAATGGAATTTTGTTGACTCGTTGGAGTGTCGTGAGATCTCTGGGTGTCTGGGGTCCAGAGAATCTTCTTTCGATACTTTCCTTCCTGAAGCCGCCACTTCACCTCGGCCTCCCTCGGCCGCCCGACTCCTGGAGCGTGAGCGTGTTCGTCGGCGCGTCGGCTCAGGGGGCGGCCCCACGGCCGGCGGCCCCCCAGAGAACACGGAGGGCGACGCCCACCTCCTCTCAGTCCCCACAGTCAGGCTCCCTCTCCAGGACTTCATTTGCTTTCACCCCATCCAGTCGGAAACCATCTACTTAGACATTCGCAGTGTATCGCACGCCGTTTCCTGGGGCTGCACCTCCGCCGGCCATTTCTCAGCCATCCTCGGGGCTCCTGTTCCTCCGTCTGATGGGAGGTGTCGGCACCCCACCCATCTCTCCCCGACACTTTTCCTCCGTGCCTCCGCACACACCCTGCAGCCGCCTCAGCCGGCGCCTTGGTTCCAGGCCTGGTCGAATGCTGAAACCTCGAGACCCGGCCCACATGCCCCTTTCCTAATTGTTCTTTCCCAGTGTTCTATCCCAAACGCCTCCTGGGTCTCCCTGACTGGGACCAGGCACCAGAGAACAAGATTCCAGGATCACGCCATCTTCCCTTTACAGTCTGCTTTTCTCTGTCACGGTGCTCCTGTGCTCGCAGCTCCCCACTGTGTAGTCTTGATGGCGTCGCGGCCCTCTTCCTTCACCCCCAGGTCCGTGTGGTCATGAACGGCTAATCTGAGTCTGCTCCAGCGTTCCCACAGCCGCTGGCCTGCCTGTGACCCCCATCTGTGATCCAGGCCGTCCAGCAGCCTCTCAGCTGGAGGCCTCCAGTTTCTCCACCATGTTTATAGGCTGCTTATCAGGCCATATTCCTCTGCCGCTGAATGCCAACAGACCTCCCTCTGTCTCTCATAGGAAAAATTCAGAATGCTGTTTGAAATGTGCACCTGGTAACTGGTCTCAGCCTCCTTTTTCTGTTTCATTTCATCCTTTGTTCTACTCACAACTGGCCATCCAAAAGAGCAAACATACATATTCATAACTCTGTGCCTTGTGAGGTACTTTCTGAAAGCTTGACTGTCCTTCCAAAGCTAACTCTAACATCATTTCCTTTTCTTAGTCTTCCATGATCGATTCAGACAGAATTCAGTGCTTTCCCTTCTGTCCTTTCACTACATTTATTCTTCAGGCCTTTCCAGGGCTTTTGACATTGTATTATAGTCAACTGCGCACCTTTTCTTTCCCAGACCGATTTCACCAAGGACTCTTTGATCCGCAGCCCCTCGCATGAAGTGCATTTGCTGATGTTTAAGGGTTCATCTGTAACTGAATGACTACTTGAGTGATGTTCCTAGAAAGAGAAGCTGTACAAATATTATCAGTACTCAACCTTTTCCTTTCAACATCCATAAAAGCTTGCTCAGATTAATTGCATGTTTTCTTTATTAATTGGCAAAATATAGGACCACTTTTACTCAATATAGAAGCATTTTGTTTCTAGGAGAATTTACCCCGGAAATGCAGTTGAGGATAAGGCAAGAAATCGAGAAGGAAAAGAAAACAGAACCTTGGAAAGAAAAATTCTTTGAAAGGTTTTATGGAGAAAAGTAAGTACTAGAGCATTTTTTTCTTCTCATTTCTCTTGAAGGAAATGAAAATGTAATTCTCTGCCTCACATAGCACACTCATATGGTGTAAAACTTAATAAACCTATGATAAAAGGCAATAGTCCCTCAGTGTAAGAAATGGCAAAATTACAGTGGTATGTCAGCACTTAAATCTTAAAAAATGTGTTTTCAAGGGTCTGTAACTGGTCCATGAAAATTTACCTTGGGCTGAACATAGCACATGAAATCCTACAGAATTTGATTATGGCTTTCTTAACTGGATTTAGTAAAAAAACTCTTGTTTTTTATGCAAGTACATTCATTTATCAATGAATTCTTCAGAGGTAAGTAGTTTTAGACACATATAATTCTCACATTTTTCCAAAAATATTGACTGTGTGTATACATTTGTTTTATTCTTGTTTTGGGAAGATCTTGAAGTATTACCCTTTAGTCCATCCATTTGCCTCTTCATTTTATCAGTTTTTAGTTTATCACTTTTATTTGTGTGTGCATGCATGTGTGCGTGCACATGTGTGTGTATGCATGCACACGTGTGTGCGTGTGTGTATGTGTGTAGGGGTTGATAATTGACAATAACTTTAGATCTTCCCTAGTAGGGGGATTGGGCTTTACCTCCCATATACACAATGCTTGAAAATTGTTATTTTGTGTAAAAGACACTGGAATGATTATAGGTAACAAAATGTGTACCATTTGATCTAATCTCACAAAATTTCCCCTGTAAATGGTGATGGGGAAATGTCAGGAGGAGTCTCACATGAGTGCTGTCTTTGGAAAGGGATTACATGATTAACAGCCTCCTTACTCAGAGTGGGCTAGCCTGCAGCGAGCAGCCCCGAGCTAGCTGCGGCAACTTGCCCCGGGGTAGCTGCAGCGAGCCGTCCTGGGGTAGCTGCAGTGAGCCATCCTGGGGTAGCTGCGGAGAGCCGCCCCGGGGTAGCTGAGGTGAGCCAGCCCCAGGCTAGCCTGTGGCGAGCCACCCCCGGGGTAGCTATGGTGAGCCACCCCGGGGTAGCTGCGGTGGGCTGGCCGCCAAGAGCCTGTATTCTAGAGGCTGTGCATTGCAGAGAGCTTTACTTCTTGCAACAGATAGTCACTGAGCACACCTTGGCTCTGATGTGTTTCTAAAAGTTTTGCAAATATTATTTCACTTACCCCTTTATTATTATTATTTTTTATTTACTAATATTATTATTCTTATATTTTAAAAAGGGTTAGGAAACTGAGGGACATTCAAACTAAGAAATTTTCCCAGGTTTACACAGGGTGTTTAAATAATTTGCTTAGTGTCTTAATCTTGCAAATCCTTCTCAGAAAAATCCATGCACACATTCAACTTTTTACATGACATTTGGGAGCTTCACAGCCTCCCATGGGTATCAGGTTCAAGGTTTCTGCCCTGCAGGGTGACAGCTATAGTACCTGTAAACATGACCCCCCATTGCCTCACTGAGCTCTAAATGCCAGCAGCTCCTTAACCTGACCCTTCCCTTGCTGTCTTTTGTCTGGAGTTTCTGTCCCTTTACATCACTGGACTTCTCCCTCATTGTCTTCTTATATCTATTACATGATGGATGACAGATGAATTTTGGACATTTAATTGTCCTTCTGATTTTGTTACTTCTAATCACTTCATTCCTCCAGTATGTGAAGGATTTATTCATAGGATCAGATGAATTATTTTCAATTGACACCACCATATGTCTTTTCACTGCTCTAACTTTTTGCAAGAGTATTGCCATCCAAATGTGCCTCTAGTTAAGACTGGTCTGATTTAAATGTTTGTTCTTTGAGATCTTTATTGTTTTTTATTGGCTTACTCTGCTTACATGTTCTTTTTACTACTCTGAGATCTCCCACATGTATGCTAACTCAGCACAGTAGGAGTCAGTCTGACAGCCTTTCCTTCGTGGTTATGGGGGATGTGAGCACCTTCCTTCTATGCTGTATGCCATCTTAAATCTGCTTTGACATAGGCATATTTACAGTGTCATTTTCTATATAATATATATGTATACATATATGATATTCAATAATATTAAATATGTTTAATAATATCCTTATTAACCAAGTAGCAGAAATTTGACTGCCAGTGGATAGATTCTGTTTGTTTTACACCTAATCTAGTATTAGGGGTATCTCTGCTTGACCTAGCCCCAGGGGATCTTATCACTAGCGGATTATTCTTCTTTAAGTTTATCTGTAATTTGGTTATTCTGTTCCTCTCAGTGTAGTAGCTATAAACTGTAGCTTAGTTTAACCCTTCTTTGGAAAAGTTGAAAGAAGTGACTAATTATGAAGTCAGTGTCTTCTATCATCTTTTCAGAGCCTTCTGAATTGTAGTAAAGAAGGCAATGATCAAACACCCAAAAAGGTTATTCAATTTTATTTCTCTTTCATTTTGATGCTCAATTTAAGTAAAAGTTAGAAGATTGCACTAAGACATTTTCCTGTGTTGATAATATTATGCTGTATTTTTTCACTCAATGTTTCTTTTTATGGAAATGTTCTCTTTACTGCTTATCTTTGTAATTGCCTGTACTCCAATTTAGCTTCATTTAGAGCAGAATATTTCTCTACCAGCTGATGCTGACATTTGTAACTTAGTATAACAGGAAATAGTGATTTACAGTATCTTTGTAATTTTGATTAACTTGTCTTATGACCTGACCATTAGGCTGTATTATTATTTCTTGATAGTCTTTATCTTTTATAGAATACCTATACAGTAAGAGATCTGCATTAAAGAATTTAAGTCTTGCCTCATATGACTGTAATCTAATAGAATTAATATTGAAGACCCCAAATATGTTTGATATTCCTTAGTGAAATTTCTATATTGTCTTAAGTTAGGCACATAAATACTAAAATAAGGATTAACACCACTTACACTGGTTTAAGAGAACTTAATCTTTAGAAGTCATGTCAGTTTCAAGATTTTGTAATACACCCATCTTGCATTGACCTTAATTATGTGGCTATCATGTCATTATCCTTAAAGACTGCATTTTTCTGTTATAAGGACATACTTCTACTCTCTGACTTCCAAAAATTTTAGATATATGTTCTCTTACTTTTCTGCCTATATTTTCTAATCTTTCATCGTATTTGGTTATTCCTTCTACTAACTCTTAGTAAAGTTGATCCTTGCTTTCAGAATAAAAATGTATACCTTTGTTAACCAGAAGTAGGATTTATTTTAGTTATGATTATAAAAGCAGTAGAAAAACTAAGTCATCATAAAGTAGTTTACATAAATTAAGCATATTACTTAGTGGTTATAAATGAATTTGATGCACTTATATCTGCTGAATGTTATATTTGTAAGAGATCCAAACTGCACCTTTCATGCTTTCTAATTTAATATTTTAAATTCCTACCCAGGTTGGGTATGTCACAGGAGGATTCTGTAAAACTCACTTCTGGACCAAACAGTGATGGAGCTGAAAGTCGCTCTGCCCGTGGGGCCTCTGGCCTTCCAGGTCTTTCCATGCAGACTCCCTCGGAAGAGCAACAGCCAAACAGCATGAAGAGCCCCACCCCTCTGGAGCCAGGTATCCATGCTCCGCTTCATCTGGAGGTACACATAGGTAAAGACATGATGACAGAGCTGGAGCCAGAGGCTATCTTGATCCCTGAAGAATCTGTGATTCAGGAGGAAATTGCGGAGGAGGTGGAGACCAGTGTCTGTGAGTGCCAGGATGAAAATCATAAAACAATACCTGGATTTTCTGAGGAGGCTGCAAGTCCAGTGGACTCTCACGGGGAGCCCCAGGCAGCACCCCCAGAAGAGACCTTGGAATCCTGTGTTTTGATGAGTGATGTTTTAGACCCTCATGCTGAAGTTAAGATGGAAGAGAAATCAGAATCTCCCCAGGAAGACATGTCAGTTGTTATTGATCAACTAGAAGTCTGTGACTCTCTTGTTCCTTCCGCTTCACCTGTGACATCTGACACAGGACATCAAGAACCAGAAACTGCACTAGAGACCAGAACCCCCAAAATAAAAGCAGGGTCAGCGTCTTCAGAAGGCCAGTTTCCAAGTGAAGGAATCGCTGTAGACATGGAGCTACAGGGTGATCCTGATGAACAGCCCGAAGAAAACACTTGCACCTCCGATGCTTCCTTCTCTCCTGAGAGCCCAGAGGGGGCCTGTCCCAGCCAAACATCCCCAGGAGGGGACACCCAGTCCACTTCGGAAGAGCCATGTACCCCAGCCTCCCTGGAGACAACATCCTGTTCTGAAGGGCCCAGCACTGAGAATGCGGACAAATACCAGAGAAATGTCCCTGATGATGACCTGCATGCATCTGTGATATCAGAAGCATCTCCAGTGTCCACTTCACCTGGAATATCAGATGCATCTCTAATGTCCAGTTTACCTTTAACATCAGAAGCATCCCCAGTGTCTGATCCACCATCGGCATCAGAAACCTCCTCAGTGTCTTCCATGCTCCTTGCCTCTGAGGCCACTTTCATATCCAGTTTGCCACTCCCTGCAGAAATGTCTCCCATGTCTAATTCCATGACCGGGAAAGCAGGGCATCAACAAAGAAAGTCGCCTTCCAGGCCTGAGGGGCCATGCCCCCCACGGGACGGCAGCCCTGCCCCCGCTGAGCCCCTGGTAGAGAGCCCTCCCACCCGGCAGGGGGCGCTCTCCCCTCCCCCTGAACCCACCACGGCGGGCTCCCCTCCTGCTGCCCTTGGAGCTTTTCTGCCAGAGGAGCTGCCCTGTAGGGCTCTGAATCCGCAGCCTGGTAAACCCCATGGTGGGGCTGAGAAGCCCTATCTTGCTTTGCTTCCAGAACTTTCTTCTCCAGAAGTGATAAAAGTTAAAAATCATAATGTCCTGCACAGAACAGAAAAGAAAGGGGTGTTGTCACCATTGGAATTACCAGTTTTTTCTGAAGAGACCGAGAGTAAGGGAAACGAGCTTCCATCAGCTAAATTACAGGACAAGCAGTATGTCCCGCCCACGGACAAGGCTTCATTTTCAGAAGGCTCTAGAAATAAAGCACAAAAGCAGGGGGGCTCCCAGAGCCGGCCAGAGACCTCGCCGGCCTCCAGGCTGTCGGAGCCGTCCAGGCCGCCTGACGGGGTCAGGAGCGAAGGCAGAGAACCTGAGACACCGAAGAGGAAAACAGCAGAGCAGCACAGCTTTGGCACCTCTAAGGAGAAGAGGGCCAGGATAGACGGTGACCCGCCGGCCCACAGCGCGCCGCCCAGCAGCCCACCCGAGAAAGAGCATCCTCTGAGGGAGGAGCCCAGAGTCCCGCCTCTCAAGGTATGGCACTTAAAAATGGCAGTTTGACAGATAGGCTTCTCCTGTTTTTAGTTTTTCAGAAATAAATGAGGTGTTTTTCCTTCAGGTTTTATGTAGCAGTTTTATAAGTCTAACACTCCCAGCACCTCTGTAATATTAAATGATCCTTTTTAAGATTGTACACTGAGCTCATGTGATAAGGTTAGGTTCATGTATATATTTAGACCTCAGTACTTAAGGGAAGAAAAGTGTGGAGGGAGAACAGGGCCTCACAGAGCCCACAGGCCACTGAGGGTCTTTGGAGGAATTCCAGGGTGTAGGGTAGAGACCCACACAAACTTGGGAAAATTTGAAAGATAATTCAGTGTCCTGCAAAGGCTCAGTGGAGCTAGGGACAGCAGTGGAGAGCCAGAGGCATGCCCGGGGGGCTGGAGGCGCGTATTGACTTCACTCACTTCCCAGCAGACGGGGGCCCCCATTGCCTAGAGAGGGCCTGCCTTAGGGAATACCACTTATGAAACTAATGGAATTGCTTTGAGAACCCTCAGGGAAATGCTAATGACATATATGAATACAAATACTTTTATTTCCAAGACAGAAAGAGGTATTTAACTTCATAAAATAATAGAGCTTAGAGTCAAGCATTCCTATTTATCTATTTCTTTTGATCCCATGGAGATTTTACTCTCCAAAAATAAATCTTTCCTAGAAATTGGCCCTGCCTAAGTAAACTGAAAATTAAAGTTATTCAAAAGAAATTCTGTTTTAAAACAGCCTGCCCACTGTAATTTATACATATATGGTACCTTCATCTCAGTCCATTTATACTGCAACTGAATCATTCCATCACAGAATTGGTCCAGAATTATAAACATACTCAAGCTTTGTCTTAATCTCTTTATTTTGCTTTGCTCTGACATCTACTTTGTATATATGACTCATATCCAGTGTTGACTTTTAAGGGTGTGGTTGTGGTTAATGTATTTAACAGTATCCTAAATAAGATTTTAGAGATGTAAAAGATGAACCTTAAGCTCCTTAAGCTCCAATTAAAACCCTGCTATGTAGCTTAGTTTCTGAAGCAACAGAAATATGCTAGTATGCTTGTCATAGGAAATACTTTTAAACATACCAGTCTGATTCTTTGTTGAAAGCTTATTTTCCAAGTGATACACACTTTATGTAAAGATGGATAGATGACACATAGACACCTAGATACTGTAAGTATGTCTGATGTTTGGCCTTGAGCTCTTGCCAAAGCATATCTAAGCCTTTTTTAAAAAATTTTTTTTAGTATTTTGAACTAAGGGAAATGTTTAAAAGAAAGAATTGAATCCCCAAATTCATCTTTTCTTTGGAGCCTTTGGACTAGAAGAGAGACATCACAAGTTTGAAACTGAGAAATAAGATAGCTCAGGAAGGTAATTCCACGTGCCCAAGTTGCAACTCGATCCTATAATATATGTGTCAAATGTTTGTAGTGTAAATATATATATGTTAGGAGAGTTGTAAATGTTCTAGGAGAAGTTTTCTCTAGTGGAGGAAGAAAAAGGAGGCATGGTGGACATAGAAGCAGCCCTGAACAGGGCCCCAAGGAGTCTCTGTCCTCACAACTGTAGGACCCCAGCACAATCTGCTTTACCTCCACAGGCTCATTTCTTTCAAACTTGTAAAGCAGGAGCTTTAACAAGACCCGCTGCAGCTCTGCAGATCTGTGACTCTGGAAGGTCTGTGGTGATGTGCCATCACAGGCCGTGTGGGGTGTTGGTGGTCAGGCCTTGTGCCTCCTGAATGTGGTGATGCTGTGCATCCCTTAGTTAGCATGAGCAGGCGAGCATTGTGGATTGGATCATCGATCGATGAGATCCGGCACATGGGTGAGCAGTGTGAGAGGAGAGGCAGAAGCCGGAGGGGCCTTCGCTCTCATGGAAACACACTGACAGTGAATCTAGCTGGGAGTCCGGTGCTCCTCCAGGCACAGCCACCCTGGCCGCTCTGCGAGGAAACAGGCCTCAGGTAGCTGGTCTCATTTCATGACTGACACTGCCAGCTCTTACCCTGTGCTTATCACATGCATATCAAAAATTTTAGATATATGTTCTCTTACTTTTCTGCCTATATTTTCTAATCTTTCATCGTATTTGGTTATTCCTTCTACTAACTCTTAGTAAAGTTGATCCTTGCTTTCAGAATAAAAATGTATACCTTTGTTAACCAGAAGTAGGATTTATTTTAGTTATGATTATAAAAGCAGTAGAAAAACTAAGTCATCATAAAGTAGTTTACATAAATTAAGCATATTACTTAGTGGTTATAAATGAATTTGATGCACTTATATCTGCTGAATGTTATATTTGTAAGAGATCCAAACTGCACCTTTCATGCTTTCTAATTTAATATTTTAAATTCCTACCCAGGTTGGGTATGTCACAGGAGGATTCTGTAAAACTCACTTCTGGACCAAACAGTGATGGAGCTGAAAGTCGCTCTGCCCGTGGGGCCTCTGGCCTTCCAGGTCTTTCCATGCAGACTCCCTCGGAAGAGCAACAGCCAAACAGCATGAAGAGCCCCACCCCTCTGGAGCCAGGTATCCATGCTCCGCTTCATCTGGAGGTACACATAGGTAAAGACATGATGACAGAGCTGGAGCCAGAGGCTATCTTGATCCCTGAAGAATCTGTGATTCAGGAGGAAATTGCGGAGGAGGTGGAGACCAGTGTCTGTGAGTGCCAGGATGAAAATCATAAAACAATACCTGGATTTTCTGAGGAGGCTGCAAGTCCAGTGGACTCTCACGGGGAGCCCCAGGCAGCACCCCCAGAAGAGACCTTGGAATCCTGTGTTTTGATGAGTGATGTTTTAGACCCTCATGCTGAAGTTAAGATGGAAGAGAAATCAGAATCTCCCCAGGAAGACATGTCAGTTGTTATTGATCAACTAGAAGTCTGTGACTCTCTTGTTCCTTCCGCTTCACCTGTGACATCTGACACAGGACATCAAGAACCAGAAACTGCACTAGAGACCAGAACCCCCAAAATAAAAGCAGGGTCAGCGTCTTCAGAAGGCCAGTTTCCAAGTGAAGGAATCGCTGTAGACATGGAGCTACAGGGTGATCCTGATGAACAGCCCGAAGAAAACACTTGCACCTCCGATGCTTCCTTCTCTCCTGAGAGCCCAGAGGGGGCCTGTCCCAGCCAAACATCCCCAGGAGGGGACACCCAGTCCACTTCGGAAGAGCCATGTACCCCAGCCTCCCTGGAGACAACATCCTGTTCTGAAGGGCCCAGCACTGAGAATGCGGACAAATACCAGAGAAATGTCCCTGATGATGACCTGCATGCATCTGTGATATCAGAAGCATCTCCAGTGTCCACTTCACCTGGAATATCAGATGCATCTCTAATGTCCAGTTTACCTTTAACATCAGAAGCATCCCCAGTGTCTGATCCACCATCGGCATCAGAAACCTCCTCAGTGTCTTCCATGCTCCTTGCCTCTGAGGCCACTTTCATATCCAGTTTGCCACTCCCTGCAGAAATGTCTCCCATGTCTAATTCCATGACCGGGAAAGCAGGGCATCAACAAAGAAAGTCGCCTTCCAGGCCTGAGGGGCCATGCCCCCCACGGGACGGCAGCCCTGCCCCCGCTGAGCCCCTGGTAGAGAGCCCTCCCACCCGGCAGGGGGCGCTCTCCCCTCCCCCTGAACCCACCACGGCGGGCTCCCCTCCTGCTGCCCTTGGAGCTTTTCTGCCAGAGGAGCTGCCCTGTAGGGCTCTGAATCCGCAGCCTGGTAAACCCCATGGTGGGGCTGAGAAGCCCTATCTTGCTTTGCTTCCAGAACTTTCTTCTCCAGAAGTGATAAAAGTTAAAAATCATAATGTCCTGCACAGAACAGAAAAGAAAGGGGTGTTGTCACCATTGGAATTACCAGTTTTTTCTGAAGAGACCGAGAGTAAGGGAAACGAGCTTCCATCAGCTAAATTACAGGACAAGCAGTATGTCCCGCCCACGGACAAGGCTTCATTTTCAGAAGGCTCTAGAAATAAAGCACAAAAGCAGGGGGGCTCCCAGAGCCGGCCAGAGACCTCGCCGGCCTCCAGGCTGTCGGAGCCGTCCAGGCCGCCTGACGGGGTCAGGAGCGAAGGCAGAGAACCTGAGACACCGAAGAGGAAAACAGCAGAGCAGCACAGCTTTGGCACCTCTAAGGAGAAGAGGGCCAGGATAGACGGTGACCCGCCGGCCCACAGCGCGCCGCCCAGCAGCCCACCCGAGAAAGAGCATCCTCTGAGGGAGGAGCCCAGAGTCCCGCCTCTCAAGGTATGGCACTTAAAAATGGCAGTTTGACAGATAGGCTTCTCCTGTTTTTAGTTTTTCAGAAATAAATGAGGTGTTTTTCCTTCAGGTTTTATGTAGCAGTTTTATAAGTCTAACACTCCCAGCACCTCTGTAATATTAAATGATCCTTTTTAAGATTGTACACTGAGCTCATGTGATAAGGTTAGGTTCATGTATATATTTAGACCTCAGTACTTAAGGGAAGAAAAGTGTGGAGGGAGAACAGGGCCTCACAGAGCCCACAGGCCACTGAGGGTCTTTGGAGGAATTCCAGGGTGTAGGGTAGAGACCCACACAAACTTGGGAAAATTTGAAAGATAATTCAGTGTCCTGCAAAGGCTCAGTGGAGCTAGGGACAGCAGTGGAGAGCCAGAGGCATGCCCGGGGGGCTGGAGGCGCGTGTTGACTTCACTCACTTCCCAGCAGACGGGGGGCCCCCATTGCCTAGAGATGGCCTGCCTTAGGGAATACCACTTACGAAACTAATGGAATTGCTTTGAGAACCCTCAGGGAAATGCTAATGACATATATGAATACAAATACTTTTATTTCCAAGACAGAAAGAGGTATTTAACTTCATAAAATAATAGAGCTTAGAGTCAAGCATTCCTATTTATCTATTTCTTTTGATCCCATGGAGATTTTACTCTCCAAAAATAAATCTTTCCTAGAAATTGGCCCTGCCTAAGTAAACTGAAAATTAAAGTTATTCAAAAGAAATTCTGTTTTAAAACAGCCTGCCCACTGTAATTTATACATATATGGTACCTTCATCTCAGTCCATTTATACTGCAACTGAATCATTCCATCACAGAATTGGTCCAGAATTATAAACATACTCAAGCTTTGTCTTAATCTCTTTATTTTGCTTTGCTCTGACATCTACTTTGTATATATGACTCATATCCAGTGTTGACTTTTAAGGGTGTGGTTGTGGTTAATGTATTTAACAGTATCCTAAATAAGATTTTAGAGATGTAAAAGATGAACCTTAAGCTCCTTAAGCTCCAATTAAAACCCTGCTATGTAGCTTAGTTTCTGAAGCAACAGAAATATGCTAGTATGCTTGTCATAGGAAATACTTTTAAACATACCAGTCTGATTCTTTGTTGAAAGCTTATTTTCCAAGTGATACACACTTTATGTAAAGATGGATAGATGACACATAGACACCTAGATACTGTAAGTATGTCTGATGTTTGGCCTTGAGCTCTTGCCAAAGCATATCTAAGCCTTTTTTAAAAAATTTTTTTTAGTATTTTGAACTAAGGGAAATGTTTAAAAGAAAGAATTGAATCCCCAAATTCATCTTTTCTTTGGAGCCTTTGGACTAGAAGAGAGACATCACAAGTTTGAAACTGAGAAATAAGATAGCTCAGGAAGGTAATTCCACGTGCCCAAGTTGCAACTCGATCCTATAATATATGTGTCAAATGTTTGTAGTGTAAATATATATATGTTAGGAGAGTTGTAAATGTTCTAGGAGAAGTTTTCTCTAGTGGAGGAAGAAAAAGGAGGCATGGTGGACATAGAAGCAGCCCTGAACAGGGCCCCAAGGAGTCTCTGTCCTCACAACTGTAGGACCCCAGCACAATCTGCTTTACCTCCACAGGCTCATTTCTTTCAAACTTGTAAAGCAGGAGCTTTAACAAGACCCGCTGCAGCTCTGCAGATCTGTGACTCTGGAAGGTCTGTGGTGATGTGCCATCACAGGCCGTGTGGGGTGTTGGTGGTCAGGCCTTGTGCCTCCTGAATGTGGTGATGCTGTGCATCCCTTAGTTAGCATGAGCAGGCGAGCATTGTGGATTGGATCATCGATCGATGAGATCCGGCACATGGGTGAGCAGTGTGAGAGGAGAGGCAGAAGCCGGAGGGGCCTTCGCTCTCATGGAAACACACTGACAGTGAATCTAGCTGGGAGTCCGGTGCTCCTCCAGGCACAGCCACCCTGGCCGCTCTGCGAGGAAACAGGCCTCAGGTAGCTGGTCTCATTTCATGACTGACACTGCCAGCTCTTACCCTGTGCTTATCACATGCATATAAGGTGATGTGCACAGTGCTGTGGGGGTGTATAAAAACCAGAGTCTGTGGTTCAGCAAGGTTCCGGAGGGCCTAGAGACTCTCTCTGTCCCTCTGAAGTACATGGTGACTTGCCTAGGGTCACAAAGTTCCTTTGAGTAAAACCAGGATGAGAATTCTAGTATCCTGGCCTCTGGATGAGGACTTTTCCCTTCTGTCAAATGAAGACAGGCAAACTCATGTAGAGTGGAGGTCCCCATTTGTCTAGCCAGCAAAGAAGGTCATTTAAAAGCTAAATATCTTAAGTCTTTAACCTCATTTTAGGGAGCATGGATTGTGCTTGCATTTATGTGAGGCATTAAGGTGTTTCAACGCCTAATGGAGCCACCAGTTGATGTTTCTGTAGATTAAAAACATTGAAAATGTTCATTTAACCTTCATGCCGCATTGATTGCTGCTTTATACTTGAGAGGCCTGTTCAGGGGTTGGGGTGTACCTGCCGCCCAATGAAAGAATGTAACCTCGCTTCCACAGTCACAGCCCCCAGCCTCCCGTGACCATGTGTCAAGCGCTTTACCTTTCCATTCTCCTTCCCTGTAGATCCAGCTTTCCAAAATCGGGCCACCTTTCATCATCAAGAGCCACCCAGTCTCCAAAGCGGAGTCTCGAGCGTCGACCAGCATGTCCACCGGTGGGAGGAACACGGGAGCCCGAACTCTGGCCGACATCAAGGCCCGCGCGCAGCAGGCCAGGGCTCAGCGCGAGGCGGCGGCGGCAGCGGCAGTGGCCGCGGCCGCGAGCATCGTGTCAGGCGCCGTGGGGAGCCAGGCCGAGGGTGGCAAGGCACGGACCCTGGCACACATCAAGGAGCAGACGAAGGCGAAACTCTTTGCTAAGCATCAGGTCCGAGCCCACCTCACCCAGACCGCGAAGGAGCCGCGGCCACTGCCGCTCGGCCCCAAGGAGGGTCCTCCGAGCTTAGACGGCTCTCCCAACCCTGAAGCAAAGCTTGAAGCTCCCACCGGTGTCATAATCGTGAACCCAAACTGCAGGTCCCCAAGCAGCAAGGCCACGCCCCTGCGGGAGGCCACCCCCACCCCGCTGCAGGCTCCCAGCCCGGCGCAGCGCCCAGAACCTGCTGCCCACTCACCTCCACGCGGGTCTGGCAAGAACACACCTGTGCCACTCTTCTCTGAGAAAGCCGTTTTATCTACCTCTCCTGAAAGTAGCGGTGTGGCCACGCTTTTCCACAGAAGCTGCGTCCCCGCATCCACCTGCAGTGCTGCGCCAGGAGCTGCTCCAGAGCAGCCTTTCACAAGCCCCGTCGGGGCGCCCTCCGTCCTGCGCTCTGCGGACAGCACAAACATCCCAGCTCCCGCTCGCAGTGGGAGCACGTCGGCAGCCGTCCAGGGAGCAGGCGCCGTGGGCATGGCCGGCCCCCAGTGCGTGGGGAACGCGCCTGCCGCCCCCGCCCCTAGTCCCGGGGACCGGCTGCTGCCCGCGGGCGGCAGGGTAGGCAGCTTGGCCCCAGGCGCACACGCGGGAAGGGATGGCAGGCCTTCCGAGAGGCTGGCCGTGCCCAGCGGGGAGGAGCAGGCCCACGTGCCAGGGGGCCCTGCTGTGCGGACGGCGATCGGCGGCCGGGCCTCGCACCCCGCCACCCTGCTCACTGGGAGCCCCCCCGAGTCACGTGCCGACAGCTTGGACAGAAGCACAGGGCCCCGCCACAGGGCGGACCATCCTGTGACACCTCAGCCCCCTCCAGGGGCCTTTGCGCCCACAGCCACGAACAGGTCAATTCCCTGTAAAGTCATCGTGGACCACAGCATGGCCCTGACTGCTGCTTCATCACTGGCCGGCCCCATTGGCAGCGTGGAAGCCCGCGGGGATGCGCAGGGCCGGCCAGCAAGGGCGGAGCCCCCCGCACAACCCCCAGCCCGCCCTCAGGTGTCTGTCATAAGCAGGCCCGAACCTACCACCCCTGCAGCGCAGCCCGACGGCAGAGCGCCACAGGCCGTGTGCCCAGGTCGCTGCGACGGGCCCCCTGCGGTTCCAGACGCAGTGCGAGGCCCGGCGGCCGCCTTCAGAAGCGAGGCAGACACAAAGTGCGGCGGTCAGTGCAGCGCAGGCCCCCGGGTCTGCTGGGCCGATGATGTGCCGAGGAGCACAGGACTGCCTCTGGCTGGCCTCCCGCCGAGCAGACAGGAGCGCCTGGGGCAGGGCTGTGTGCATCCCGCCACAACCGAGAACGCCGGCTACACGTGCGCATCAGAGCTCCTCTCCAGGCCTCTCCTGCCAACCGTGGCCCTATCGGTGGAGGGCGAGCCTCAGGACGCGGACAGAGGCCTCAGGACGGACGCCGACGACTTCCCCGCGCCCGGGCGGCCACCTCCAGCCGCCGCCACCCCCAACGCGCCGCAGACAGAGGCCGCACGGGCTGTAGCTGCTGCGCCCGCGGAGGAGGGGCCCTCGGCCGACACCCTGAAGAGAGCGCCCAGTGCGGGGATCTCAAGCTGTCGCCTGTCCTCCGTGGAGGCTAACAACCCGCTGGTCACGCAGCTGCTGCAGGGCAACCTGCCCTTGGAGAAGGCTCTGCCGCAGCCCAGGCTGGGCGCCAAGCTCGAGATTAACAGGCTCCCACTGCCCCTGCAGACGACGTCAGTGGGCGCCCCAGTGCCGGAGAGAAGCGCCGCCGACGTGCCATCCAGCTCGCCAAACCCAGACGGGAAAGACTGCCTGGCAGGGGCTCTCACACCCCAGCAAATGAGAAAGCGAGAAAACCACCCCAAAAAGAGAGTAGCCAGGACCGTAGGGGAGCACACGCAAGTTAAATGCGAGCCAGGGAAGCTGCTGGGGGACCCAGACGCCCAAGGGGTGCCCTGTGTTGTCAGCTCGGGCGTGAGTCCGCTGGGGCACAGCCAGCCGTTCAGGCAGGACTGGCTAAGCAAGCACGCCGCGCAGAGCAGAGCTGTGCACAGCCCAGAGGTCAAGCAGCAGAGGCGGCTGCTGCCCGCGTGCAGCTTACAGCAGGGCCTGTTCCACGCCGAGCAGAGCGGCGGCTTCCACACCGGCGCTGGCCCCGCGCACAGGGCGCATCTCCCGCCGCCGCCGCCGCCGCCGCCACCGCCGCCGCCGGCCCGGGGACCCCTCCCCGGCGCGCCCCCTTCGGCCGGGTCCTTCACCACGGGCCGGCGGCCGGAGCCCAGAGCGCTGGGCGAGGCCGGCCCATCCCCGGGTCGCGCTCTCAAGCTGGCCGGCGTGCTGTCCCCGGGTGCGCCCGTCAAGGACTGCGACGAGACGGGAGTGCCGGCCGCGGCCAGGGGACACAGAGGCCTGGGGCCGCCACCTCCGAACACCGAGCAGAAACAGGCCACGGAGGCCGCACAGAGACTCGGGTGGCTGCAGGCCGCGGGCATGCGCAGCGGCGTCAAATCGGAACCTCCCTCCTTTGAGGAAGGCCTGGGCAGCAGCTGTGAGCTGGGCAGGAAGCAGGTTTCCTATGAGCAGAGCGACGTGAAGGAACAGTTAAAGGCGTTTGCCCTGAAAAGTGCAGATTTCTCTTCCTATTTGCTCTCCGAGCCGCAGAAGCCTTTTCCTCAGTTGGCTGCTCAGAAAGCGCAGGTGCCGCAGCCGCTCTGTGGTGGCTACCCGACCATCCACTTCGGAAGCGCGAGCTTCAAGAGGGCGGTGCCTGCGACCGAGAAGTCCGTGGGCGTGGTGGGCAGCGCCCCCCTCGCGACTGCGGGCCTGCCCGGCCAGAGCGCGCCCGGGCCCGTGCCGGGCTTCGCCGACAGCCGCGCGGACGAGCTGGAGCTCAAGTGCTCGTGCCGTCTGAAAGCCATGATCGTGTGCCGGGGCTGCGGGGCCTTCTGCCACGACGACTGCATCGGGCCCTCCAGGCTGTGCGTGGCGTGCCTGGTGGTGCGGTGACCGCCCGCCACGGCGCAGGGCCCCGCAGCCGCAGCCGCCATCTGTGGGGGTTCGTCCATCCCCGTGGCATGCCTTCTGCGTGTTTAGCTTTGGAAAATTCTCATCCTTGCGGTGCAGGTCACTACCCTGTGTGCTCCTCGAACTCGGAAGTAGACGGGAAAAGGACGCCTTCATTAATAAGAGCTGGAGCACTCCGCAGCCGGAAGGTCCTGTGCGAATGAGCTTGGCTGCGCTGCACTCGGCACCTGCGCCAACGTGGCGCGGCCTTCTGGGGGGCTGCTCTGCACCTGCCCACACCCGTGATTAAATCACAGTTGGAAGGGGAATCCTGTATTTACTAACATCACAAAGGATGCAGTAGAGGAGGCATGCCATCCATGAACCGCCTCCCCTCTCTTTAGATTCTTCCCGGAGACCCGCAGAGCTGCTGAGCATCTGCCTTGCACACTGTACCCTCACTGGAGTGAAGTGTGTTGTCTTCCTGAAACGCAGTGTGGACCTCATGCCCATTAATCTGGCTCCAGCCCCTTGACACCTGATACCGTAAGATCAGTTGGCCAAGATGGGCCATAGGCTCAGAGGACTTTAGAGCTTCTGGGTGGCTTTTAAGAGCAAATATGAAAAAAAAAATGCCCTAGTATATTAAAAGCAAACAAGTAAAAAGTGCTATATATGCAAACACAAATGGGCTGATAATGTACATATGGGTCCATTCCATTCACTCTAATAAGGTCACTATTAAATTCAGGTGAAATGCCTTACCCTTATTGATGACACCCGTGCATTCCAGCTTTGGGCCTTGCAGAGGTTTGCCACCTCATGCTTGCGTGTCATTGATACTAAAGGGGACTGAAGTGGGAACGTTTTCTGAACAATTTTTTCTTAAGGTTCATGACCTGTATAACTATGTTCGATTCTGAAATAGCCTTTATTTTAAAAATTGTTCTAGGTATTGCATGTTCTGTTTTTTTCCCCCTCAGATGAAGCCAGTATATCCGTCATATTTAGGAAGTGGAACTGTTTTTGAAAATGGGATACTGCATCTTACAAGTATCATCAGTGCTTACCCTAAACTCTGAGTGTTGAGTCCTTGAGCGCCATTCCATGTACTTTGGCCACCAACCATCATGCCAAGGGGCAGCCATAGTTCAGGAGGCTCTTGCCCTAAAGAAAGTTCAGAAGCACATGACATTTTGGAAAGACAAAATCAGCAAAACCACGCCATCAATGTCAGGCTGCAGAGCACAGAGTGTGAAGGGCCATTAACCCTCTGATTGATGGAGGCTGTAAAATTTAGAATTTAAAACAAACAAACAAACATGGGTTACCATGCGTACCCAGGGTAAGAATAACAGATATTCTTACAAGGGGTCATCCTAATCAATGTGAACTTTTGACATTCCCGTAAAATATGTCTTAAAGACTGACTGGAATGAGCAGAAATTACATTCCTGGCAGAAAAAAGAAATACTTGTGATTTTTTATAGTAATCAGCCATGATATGTTTTTTTCCTTCACATTTATTACCACAATGTTGCCAAATTTTGTTAGGTAATAGAGACTCCATTTCTATTAATAAATTGTTGATAGTGAAAAATGCTTTATCTTAAAAGGAAAGAAAAGCAAGGGAGGCCCTGCCTCTGTGGCCGCGTTTGGCACTTCGGTACCGTTACTTCTGTATTTCACATTAAAATGACCGGCTGAGAAAACGAGCAGTGGGCTCACCTAGCCCTGTGCAGGCACACAGCCTCAGCTCTGGGGGAGCCGGGTCGTCCTGCACCGGGTCAGTGGGTCACGCCCCGCCAGAGGTGTCTGCGGTCTGCCTGGCCTAGATGTCTTGGTCATCGAGGACACGCGCTAGCCTCACGGGGGTACCCGTGAGATGTGCGCACTTGCATGCCAACTTCTTCCACATTCAGCTGCCGCTCTACTTGTGTCAGGTGCTGTCTATACCAGCAGATTCCAAACTACCACAGCAGTAACTGACACCGTCTGCACAACATGTGCTCTCTGTATATGAGGCACAGTGGAGGCTGCTGTGAGCTCATATTCTGTCCCATCATTGTGGAATGCTGCCTGCAAGTTACTTACTGGGAATGAAGAAAAGTGTCCTTTTGTAGGTTTTGCTTTTTCACATAGTAGGTTTGGAGAATCAGTTGACCGTGCCTGGATTCCATCACCCAGGTGCAAAGAGCAAAATTCCTCTCTGCCCTTGCTCTTTACTGCCCCCATTTAAATTCCTAGAGTCCACATATGATTTATATGACTAAATTCCTATCTTCAGGCTAAAACAGGGAAAGAAAAGGAATTCACAGGTAAAATGTGGATCAGAAATTTTACAAGTGTCCACTTAATATATATACAAAAGCCAGTATATTTGGAGTAGGTTCTTAATTTTCCGATTTCTACAGGCCTCTGCCTATGTGCAAATGGAGTGTGTTATTTACTATATGGTTACTGTGGTGTAATGTGCAAATTTTAGTGTGTGCATTATCCTGACTATTGGATGCTGTGATACTCTTATCAGGATAGAACTTGCACATGTAACTTTTTTTTTTTTTATCACAAAGGATGTATTTCCCTAAGTAGCACTTTTGGAGCAGGGGAAGGAAGAAAACATATTCCCTAACCCCTCTCCTGTATGATATGCAGATGCCTGAGGTGTATAGGGGCATTCTGGTAGTTCATGGGCATGTTGATAGCATTCTGATGCAAGCTCATTTTCAAAATGAAGATCTTTTTCCTTCCCTAAAGTGAAAATAGTAGAAATGTTGGTGAACTGAGCACCGTAGTTATATATATACTATTTCCCTGCTAAGGTCTAGTTTGAAGAAAAAACTTGAAAACAAGCCTGTGAGGTTGAGTCTGGTCGCTGTAAAGACTTGACGGCGGTCCGCGTTTCTGGGATGAGCTAGGAAGGTTCGGCTGCCTGCCTGACCTGGGATGCCGTCCCTCCTTGAGAAGAACACACAGAAGGAGCTGGTCCCACGGATCCTGGGCGCAGCCACGAGCGGAGCGCGGGATGCCGGTGCCCCACCGCGCACCGCTGCGTGGAGAGGTCACTGTGGCCTCAGAGACCCAGACCCTCCCAGGTCTGGCGCCAGAGGGAAGCAGGCGAGGCCCGCGCTCCGGGGAACTGTGTGGGGCTCCTGGTCTCCAGACGTTGGGCCGTGCAGCCAAACTCACTGAACAAAGCCGTTGTCTTCAGTCCTCGTGCTTCATGCCATAAAGCGAACAAAGAGCATTTTTACTATAATTTCAAGGAGCTGCTTTTTTATAGCACATACTTTTTTGCTTTGTACTATATTTGATAGTTGCAGAATAATTTAGGCTGTAGAAACCTTTGTTGTGTTTGTGCTGTTCACGAATATTGCGAAGCAAGTGCTTTACTCGGCTGCCGTGATCTCCTCGTCCTGCTGTATTTCCCTCCTGCCTCGTGGGAACCTCATCTGATTTCTGTTTTCAGTACGGTGTTTTTTTTTTATGTGTGCTTGTGGGTATGGGGTTTTGTTTTTTGTTTTTTGTTTTTTTTTTGGTCAGTATTCTGAATGTTTACATCTGTTTGACATTAGCCATTTAATGCCTTTTTTTTTAAGGCAGTGTATTACCCTGCATGTAACAGCAAAATGTGAAATCAATCCACACGTAATGTGCATGACAAACACAGGCTGGGGGCAAAGGCCCGGGACATAGTCAGACATTGGACATGAGCATACAGGAAAGGGAGACCCTCCTTCAGCCCTTTACCAAAGAATATATGATTCCCGCAGGAAAACTCAGAAGGTGTGTGAAATCCTCAGAAGGGGGAGCAGTTGATTCAGCAAGACTGCTACAATTTAATACTGTTATAAGCTTGCTTTGATACCTGACTAAATGTGACTGAGCAACAACATTTAAACAATTTTAGACAGTGTTTTGTTTAGAATTCAGGGATCATGCATTCTTTAATGGTGCTGTTTGTTTTTTATTTCTTTTCTACAAAGAAAAAAAGTGTTGCCTACAAAAGTGACTGCTCATAATACCATAAGTTAAAGGAAATGGAATGTTTGTCTTTTCATGTTTCTGTTTTTCCCTTTTTCAAAGCAATCATTTGGGTTTCAATATTAAAATATTCTGGAGAAAATAAAGAAATTAAACAGTAAATAATTGTCATTTTAAATTTTTTTATGAAATGAGGTAGTGTATGTATATATACATGTATACACACATATATACATAAAATGTGCTAGTAAATATACTGGAAATGTTACTTAATAAAAAACTTATAGAGAAAACCAACCGTTATCTATTAAATTATCTACCCTTCTTGGTATGGTGACTTACCATACAATTATGACTTTTGTTAAAACAGTAAAACCTCAAACAGAAACCTCTTTGAAATCAACTGGATCTACTGTACTTATCATTTGAAAATATATTGGGAACTTCTGTTTTCATAAATATTTTGTTAATTCTTTATGCCCAAAATATTCAAGTCAAGAAAATTGTCACTACCACATTTAAACTTTCAAAATGAGTTAATTTTCAAAATTCTTTTTTACAAGAATTAGTCTTGTTGATTTTTTATCACATTAATCCAGTTTTCCTGTAGAGTTAGTTGAATAAAATGCTGTGAACCATTAGAACAAAATTGTCTCAGTTATATTTACATTGGTTAAAAAAAAAAAGCATATCTTTCTGGGAAGATGAATCGGAAAGCATTAAACATAATTGGCTGTTTCTGAGTTCAGCTGTTTCATCTACACAGAAAATGCTGTCGTTAGCCACCAGATGGCGAAAGAGGATGATTACTTTTGGAGGAAAAAAATAAAGTAAGCTGCTTCCTCCAAAAACTAAATTAAATAATTACAGTAATGAAAGTCCAACTTACCCAAGTAAGTCAATGGAAGCTAGATACTTCTCAGTTTCATTAAATTACTCTCACAGCAATGATGACATTCCATTTTTTGTCCTATTTTTTCTATTAAAATATTTACAAAATGCTTAATTTTACTGAACACTGGAATATTGAGCATTGTGAACATTTTTTTTTACTATTTTCATTGCATTACTCCACAGATGTCATCTATTTCAAATTATTAGAGAAAATTGAACAACCCAGCATACTTTAAGATGATGCCTATCAAAACTGATCTGAGTGCTTTATATGTTTTAATTCACATGTCCTCATAAAATAGGTACAATTATAAAATTTGTATGTAAGTATTCTGTTACTGTTAATACATTAATGTGGCCTCATTTGAGGAACAGTTGCTTGTAGGATCTAAAGTAGAACAAGTGATTTACCCAATGATTCCTCAGTTTTCCTGTAGAAAACTTCATCGGCATCAAAGATAACTATGTTATTGTGAAGGAACGTAGCCCAGAGAGTAGCTGACAGGTAGTTTCAGTCTTCTTTCTGCAGAAGACAATTGAGCAGAAACCCTAGGAAGTGTCTCTCATGCCATACAGATTTTTAAAGATCTTGTTTATAAGTTGCATAAACTTACTGCTTCCAGTTCAGAGCACACAGAATGATCTGCAGTGATACACAGAAACGGAAGGCTGGAGTATAGCCCAATGTCACCGCCAGTCTGGACATCTAAACCGAGCATTGAGCCTCCTTTGCTTCCCTGCACAAACGTTCATCTCAGCTGCAGGTGTAATCAACCTCCGGAAGCTCTCACTCACTAGGAGAAAATCACCTGCCTTACCAAGCAAAGGCTGGTTTTTTTTTTGCAGTTTAAAATAAAGTTGTATTTTGTCTTTCAGCTATACTAAATAGTATCCCATTGTGGCACTTGACTGTAAGTAAAGCCGATTTGAAAATCCTTAGCAGTCCTGCAAAGCATTGACCAATCCAAACAGATGCCAGGAAATGAGGAGAGAAGCCCTGTTAGAACAGAACTGAGACCAGTTCTGTGAAGAAAGGATCGCTGGATCTGCTTGTCAGCAGTCAGGAGTCATACCTAGCATTTCCACTGCATTTATGGTAAGTTTGTTTCTGAGATACTTTTCTTAACTACAATCTCCTATGTTTTTTTTTTTAAGGAAATCACTTGGAGATGGTTCAAAGGTGAGCTTTAACCCAAACATAATGAAATGTCCAGGAGCCTCCCCTTTTAGCTTTTCCCAAACATGGTTCAGTGGGCACACCCCATAAATAGCCACTTGCCCAAAGGTTGGGAGCTCCAGCTGTCAACAGAAGGTCCTGGACACTTGAGGTCACATAAGATCCATCTCATTTTCCAGGTGCTCATCACAAGTTTTCATGGCTTTATCATAAGCTTGTAAATGGGAAGGAGTTTTCACCTTGGATCCAAATGTGCACCTCCAGTTTCTACTGGTTTTCAGGACAACACTGTGCTCCTAATCTCCATTCTGCCATGGTGGCAGACCATAGACGGGTTTCAGAGCAGTGTGAACTATGCTTCTATCGTCCTCGATTCATCTGGCTTTCAGTATCCACATCTGGGATGCTGTAACACCATCCAGATGCAGGAAAACATAGCTGGCCTTCCTGCATCGATGACTCGGTGACTGTAGGACCACATGAGTCTCTCGTGCAAGCTCTCTTGCTATATAAATCTGCCACATTTATGCTTGTCCATCTATATATAACTACAAAACATGATTTCTTACTACAATATAACATTCACTTGCCAGTAAGAATAAATCTCAAAATGAGGAATGAGAAGGCATGTTGTATGAGTGGGGACAGTTCTCCATGATGGCTTGTAAGTGAAAACCACTGACACATTATATGCACCTTTTTCCTTTAACATGTGAGCTCAGTGTAGTTGTTTTTTTTTTTACTACATGTTTCTCAGTAAAATAATCTTTATTCTTCGAAGGGGAAAAAGAGCTATGGGAAATGAGTATCTTAAAAAGAAAAATTCAACAATTCAAGAACTTTCTTTTAAAACTACATTCAGAGTAGGACACTATGGGTAATTTATTACCTGTTATCTTCATATACATAATTTCCTCACAGCCCAAGTCCAGTCCAGAGCAGACCAGACACCTTGGGACTATGAGAAGGACAGCATGAGATTGGTAGCAGCTAGTCTGTTTTTTTCATATTTTGATACTGGGAAGGTTTTTTTTCTTTTTTAAAAAATTAGGTATTATTGATATGTAACATATTTTCATGGGTACAACATAATGACAATATTTGTATACATTGTGTAATGATTACAATAGGTTGTTAACATCTGTCACCACACATAGTCACAAAATTTTTCTTATTATGAGGGCTTAAAGCAGCTCTTGAATGTGAAGTACAATGTTATTAACTATGGCCACCGTGCTGCACATCACCTCACATCCTTTGACTTTAAACCGTAAGCTTGTGCCTTTTGACCCCCTTCACCCATTTTGTCCCCTGCCCCCCCCCCCCACTCTGGCAGCCACCTGTCTGTTCACTGTATTTATGAGCTTGGAAAGGTTGTGGAATCTTTCTTCTTTGTCCAAAAAGCTTTGCTTTGCAAAATGGAATAATCAAAGACACCCCACTCTACAATCTCATTTTTCTAATTTTGATTATCTTAGTGATAAACAAATCATTTCCAAGTTTTAGCCTTTATGTTCTGAATATGAAAGAGATTTCATAAATTCTCTTCATATAAATAAAATTTTCAAGATTTAACTCTGCTACACTAAATACAGCAGTTCCTCAGAGTTGTTCCCAAAGTGTAGATTGTTTTTATTAAAAAATAATAGATAATAATTGTGAGATGCTATATACCAAGTGCCACAAAACACTTCATAGGTATTGACTCTCACATCCATCCTTAGAAAAATCCCATACATGAGGCACTGTGGTTATATCCATATAATAAGTGAGGAACCCAAGGCTTAGGGAATTGAAAGAGAAGAATACACTGCTAAGGTCTAGAGTACGAATGAAAGGTTTTCAGGGACCAAATGCCATCCTCTGTTTGCCACGAGATCCATGGCTGGTGCACGGAATGCTGGCTCTCAGGATTCAGAAAATCCAGAAGGTCCCAGACACTGAAAAATCATAGGCTCTTGGGAAAGATGATAAAATAATTTTAAGATGACAAGTGTGTAACCTAGATGTGGATGAGCTGCAGTGGGCACGAGAGTAACCAAGTGGCTGAAACCACTGGGTTGCCCCCAGGTGGCAGAGCTGCAGACGGGAACCCATTGCCAGGCCTGGCATAGTTTCAGGGCAGCCCCACTGTGGCCCCGCCAGTGTCCCAGTCATTGCCTCCAGGAACACAGTCCTCCTGCGATGACCCCTGCAAGTCAGATGGGCCTTTGTACATTTTAGGGCTCTGTCCCCAAGCCCTTCTTACAGGAACCTGAGGTATTGGTAATGTTGACAATTGATTTTGTAAAAGTTAACAATGTATTAATACAATGTTTGTGGGACTCAATGTCCTTGATGGTCATGGCATTTAAAGCATTTTTAAAATCAATGTAATACAATATTCCTACATTAAAAATTCAAGCTGTTTCAGAGACTACAACAGCTTCTGGGTGTGAATGGCAATGTGGGCTATCCTTTTTGTATTGAAGGTGAAGCCACTGCTTCTGATGGGTTATGTGGTTCCATAGGATTCGGGGGGGAAATGACAAGCAGGCCCTGCACATCAGTCAGAGGTTTGGATTGTCAGGGACTCTCAGGACCTTGACCAGGACTTCTGGGAAAGAAAAGCTTCTCATCTTGCAGGTGACCCCAGGACGGGAGCAGTGTGGTCATCAAGGAAAGTGAGAAAGCACAGATGAGGCAGCCACAGAGAGTTTCCGGGTATGCAGGGCCAGCAATGAGCTTCACCTGGTTCATATTTCTCCAAGCAAGCCTGGTTTGGTTAAGTGACACCCACAGCCCCATTCACACCGACCTGGCCACTGGGACTGGTGCCAGCTGCCACCTCACCCAGAGGCCTGGCGGGGCCGGGGCCGACGCCCCCTGTGTTCTCTTGTGACAGCCGCAGAAGCATGATGGCCGTTGCATCCCCCTCAGTTCTGATTCACCATCTTCCCCACAAGACAGGGGCATCCCCTATTGCCACTTATAATGATTTTTCTTAAAGCCATCTGGCAAGCTGTTATTTTAACTATTTTAATAAGTGTTTGGAGATATGTTAAAGTAACAATAAATTCACTTACAAGGTTAATTG